TGGGGGGGGGGGGGGGGGGGGGGGGGCAGGGAGAGGACGTTCTAGAAGCCATGTCTCTTGAGGTGATGGCGAGGTCCTGGTGTGTTACGAGCGGATGTCCTCAATGGACATCTGTGCTCTCGCACATCAGCTATGAGGCAGGAGGCCCAACCTGGGAGGGAAGGAGGGTCTCAGTATGCTGTCTGCGCAGATGCTGGGGTTCCCCAGCTCTCTGGCGCCCCTGATACTCCTGCTCAGAGGCTGGACGGGCCATCCACCAACCCTCGAGTGCTCAACCTATCAACCCATCTCTGTCGGAATTTAGGGAGGTTAACAGACGTTTGAGAATTGTATAATGGCACCCACAAAGAACTATTTCAAGTGACTTGTGATCATCTTTAAAACCAAAAGGAATAGGGAAACTACTGATTTTTTAGTAACTCGAGAACGTATACATACCACGTGCATAAACATCCACATTCTATGGTGATGTTATCAGTTGAGTGTATACGATCTGATTTTAAATATGCTAGTGACATAAGTTTTTGTTCTTTGTATGTCATTTGTGCCTAAAATTACTGCTTTGTGACTTGGGGTGGCGGGGTTTTGTTGTTGTCGTCCCTCTTTTGGTATTCTGGATTTATTGTGAGTGTGGTTACCGAACTATTAACACCCTTGATAAAACGCACAGTTTAGGACGGAGTAAGCCTTTTTTATTTAAGAAATGGGTATTTTTAAGAACCATCCTGTGCCCAGGAACTTTTCCATGCGGCCTGCTCTTCACGGAACACCCCGCCCTTGTCTTTAAGCACCCTGTCCCGTGTTCACAGAGACTGAGCAGGACTTGGCCCTTGTTGATGTTAACAGAATTCCCTTCTAAACCTACAAGGGTGTTTATCATAGCCCTTTCAGTCAGCTTGGTCTTTCCCATTAACTGTAACTGTGACGCCAGCAGCTGGGTGACCTTCCCTAATGGCACGTGCTGAGGGGATCATTGCAAACAAGCCGTGGAACTGCTCCCTGATGGAACCTTCGGTATTCGTACGTGTAGCTTGAATTATGTAGCGCAGTGCGTGAGTTCCAGGAAGGGCTGTTACCTTTCTGATGTGTAGTGAGAGGCAAGGAAAAGAACAAAGCTAAGATTTTGTTTAAAAAAAAAAAAAATTCTGGTGCGTACATGCTTCATCTCTTATAGGTCAGCAGATGCTGACGTTTGCACGCTGGCCTCGCCGGCCTCCTCCGTCGTGCCATTGCTTTAATTACATCTGATCTTTAAATCTGTAACGTAGGCTCTGCTCATTGGGATGACTTGACTCATGAACTGGGCCCTGGGTTCTGTGGCTGTGACGTGGGGGCTGGACGGCGGAGGCGACGGTGTGCCCCGGGGTCTTTTGTTTGCAGTAAGCTGTTCAAACACTCGATTGTGTTTTGCCAGCGAGTTTCTTCCTCCTTCCTATTGAAACGTGCCCCATCACTGCCCTTGACAGGGTTTACGTCTGGAGAATAACGGCTGACGTTAAATTCTGAACTCTGCACGAATGTTTTGTTTTTCAGGTCTTGAGTCACCGCGCCCCAACATCATCCTCGGGTTGGTGATCTGTCAGAGAATAAAACGCCCTTCAAGTGCTGGAGAATTAGATAAGGTAGAGGAGAAGCGGACCCGACTTCAGACCCAAGAAGAAACCGAGGTTTCTGTCTATCCCAAAGTGCCTGCAGCCCCGCAGTCTGAGAGGAAACCCCCCAAGCTCCAGGTCTGCTCCGGGGACGTGGCCGGCAGCACCACACCCCCAGGGACTCCTCCCCCGCCGCCCCCTCTGCCCGAGCCACCCAGTGCCCCGGCGTCGTCGTCCGTGTTGAAAATCCTGTCGTCGCTCAAACCAGGAGCCACGAGCACTA